GGACCACAGACTTGGGGGACATCTAGGTCAATTGGCACAACATAGTCCATAAAGACAAAGTTCTGCATCCTACTTTGGTGAGTAGCATCTGGAGTCTTAAAAACTTACGAGCAGCCATCTAAGATACAACTATTGGTCTCTTACTGTCCAGAGTAAAAGAGACTGAAGAAAACCAAAGACCCAAAGGAGCAAATCGTCCAGAGGACTAAAGGACCACATGAACCTCAGCCTACATGACCCTGAGACCAGAAGGATTAGATGGTGCCCAGCTATTACTACCAACTGCTCTGGCTGGGATCACCATAGAAGTCCTGGACAGAGTGGGAGAAACACCGCAGAACAAAAAATCAAATTCACAAGAGACCAGATGTACTGGTCTGACAGAGACTGGAGGAACCCCCAAGACTGTGGCCCTAAGACACCCTTCTGAACTGGAACTGAAGCCATTCCCAGAGACCACCCTTCAGCCAAATCAAAGACAGGCTCATAAAATAAACAATAACACTCGATAGAATCATGCTCTGTGGGGCGATCAAGTATACAAGATCAAATGGGCAACATTTGTCCAAAAGCACAAATGAGAGGGCAGGAAGGGGTAGCATTTCAGAATGAAAGGAAATGGGGAAGCTAGGACAGAAAAGGGGGGAGTGCTGGAACATTGTGGGGAATGAAACCAATGTCACAGATCACTTTATATACAAACTATCAAAGGGGAAACTAATTTGCTCTGTAAACTTTCACCTAATGCACAATTTTAAAAAATTTTAAAAAAGAAAGGAAAATTACTGAGTAGCTGCCTGTTTTTTATTAAATTAGTCTTGAGGCAGTCAGTTTGGAAGTGATTTAATAAAATAATTTCAACTGCTTGATGTAATGCAAGGTTGGTGAGTTTGCCACTGTAAAGTAGTCAGCAATTCCTTTTTATTTAAGTAAACTATCTCTTTTATACTATTTAAGTACTCTTATGCTTCAAATTCCAATATTTTGGAATTTGGTAAGCAAATGTTAAGTCCATTTCTATCTTTAAAGATCATATTGCCTTGATAGTAGAAATATTAAAATAATTACAGTAGGATTAATGCAGTATTTCCAAATGTAATTACTAAGTTTCAGATTGGGGGGTTCATCTATTTTTTGATTATTTAGGAATTAATTATCCAAGTTGTGTACTCTCATTTTATCTACTTTATGGCTATTAAATAGTTCAAAAGCACTCCTTTGGGAGGGTAAACAGGGAAAGGTGAAACTAATATATTTTGTTACCTCCTAGATTAGATTGAGGAGGAGGTTGAAATGGATAGATAGGAGACCTGTGTATGATAGCAGATCAGCACTTATTTTATTTTCATACCACAATACATAAAGCAGGGAACACAGAATTAATTGGCAAGGTGAATGGCAAAGATAGTAAGTACTTTAGGAACCTTAGGGAAGCGACAGGCATCCTAGCACCTATAGCTAGGAAATGGTATTTGCTTCGACGTACGAGGAAAACAGAGCTATGTCCCACAGTGATTTAACAGCAATCATTTTTACAACTACACCTGAAATGAGGTAAGACCTGCTAAGTGGTTTTCCCTGAAACATGCCAGATATTTTATTTTTTCAAAAGTACTAGTATAGGAAGTGGATGATGGAACTGCGGAAACAAACATCTAACTCATGGAGCTTTGCTATCACATCCATTTTCTGGTTTCAGAGATGCTTCTTGTTGTTGTTGGTTGCCATCCAGTCTCTTCCGACTCATGACGATCCCGTGTGTGCAGTGTAGAACTTCTGCATACGGTTTTCAAGGCTGTGACCTTTTGGAAGCAGATTGCCAGGCTTTTCTTCTGAGGCATCTCTGGGTGGGTCTGAACCACCAACCTTTTGGCTAGTAGTCGAGCACTTAACCATTTGCACTACGCAGTGATTCTTACAGATGCTACCAGTGTTAAAATAAAAAAACGTGGTCTCCTAGGTTTAAAATTTGATTCTATTTAAAAATTCAAAATTAACCAAAAGTTTTCTTTTAGGAATTGGAGTCTCGGATAAAGTATTCTTATGAGAGTAACTACAACCATAAAATAATCAAACTGGTATGTTTGTCCATCATGGGTAGTGTTAAGGTCTTTTTTTGTTATCTAGTGCTGATTTCCTTCCTGATGGATTTAACATTCTCAATCTCCAAAACACTGGCAGAAGAATTTACCACAATACCACATGACTCACTTTTTCATCAAATACGTGTCATCACAAAATTCTCCAACATATTATATAAAATTCCATATAATTCTGGACATGATTAACAATCAGCATGCATTAGAATTCATGTCTTGTGTCTAAGGCAGCGAGTGGGTCTTGAACTGTACATTAGAATCACTAAAAGACAATAAACAACAAAGCAAAACTTCTCACATATCAACATGCCAGGGCCCTTTCTCAAACAATTCAGTCAGTCTCTGGGGGTGGGGCCCAGGCAATAGTATTTTAAAAGTTCTTTAAATAATTTTATTAGGGTTGAGAACCATTGGTCCATGGGGTTTTTATGTCTCATTTACTAAAGACTCAACTATTACTCACGAGAGCTGTGCTTTGTCTTTGGCACAGCTTGAACAAATATTTTGCAGCAGGTTCACTGCAGCTGTTCTCATTGCAAGTCTTTAAGGTCTGTTTCAGATTCCAAGTCCTCTCCTCCAGTTTATCCTGAATATACTCCTATCAGGCTTTCACTTCGCACTCTACCAACTCTTTCTCCTCAAGAGATGCTGGTTATTTACACAAAACTATATCCAAGTTTCAGTCCTCAAGTTACTTACTAGCAGTTTTTGACACACACCCTCTTCTTGTGATACTTTCTTCATCCGGCTTTTGGAACAGCATTGTCCATTAGTTTCGCGATGACAGAAATGTTCTTTATGAGTGATGTCCAAATTGGTAGCTACGACCCACATGTGGCTATGGAGTCCTTGAAATGTGTCTAGTGTGACTGAGAACTGAATTATAAATTTTAACTTGAAATAGCCGCACGTGGCTAGTAGCCACCACATATCAGCCCAGTTCTTCCTCATCGGCTTTTCCTCTCCCTTTGCTGGTTCTGCCTTAGGGATCTGTCCAACTCCAACCTCTAAATATTGGGGTGCCCAGACCTCTTTTCTACACTTCTTCCATTGGCCATCTCATCCAGGTTCATGGCTTTAAATGCCCAAATTTATATCACTACCTTGGCTCTCTCTCGTGAGCTCCAGGCTTTAATATCTAACTGCCTTCTTGATGTATTTACTAAGATGTCTTACCAAGCCCAAAACCCACTGCCATCGATTCTGACTCAAAGCAACCCTATAGGACAGAATAGAACTATCCCATAGGGTTTCCAAGGCTATAAATCTTTACGGAAGCAGACTGTTGCATCTTTCTCCCATCGAGCAGCGGTGGTTTCCAACAGCTGACCTTTCGGTTAGCAGCCGAGTACTTTAACCACTGCATCACCAGGGCTCCTTAGATGTCTTATCAGGCACCTGAAATTTAATCTGTCCAAAGTCAAGCTGCTGATCTCTCCACCTACCAAAATCTGCTCCACGAGTCCCCTACAAGGCTATTATTAATCCAGTGGCCAAAGGGATCCTTTCAAAATGTCATTCCTTTCAAAAATTCCCTTCTCTGAATAAAAGCCAAAGTCCTTAAATGGCATAACCAGTTGCAATCGAGTCGATTCTAACTCATGATGACCCCATGTGTGTCAGAGTAGAACTGTGCTCCATAGGATTTTCATTCATTGATTTTTTGGAAGTAGACTGCCAGGCCTTTTTTTCAAGGCACCTCTGGGTGAACTCCAACCTCCAACCTTTCTGTTAGCAGCCGATCTTGTTAGCTGAACTACTTACATGACACTGTTTTAAATGCTAATATGGCTGGTCTGCCCTTATTAAACAGCATGACTTTTCTAAATTAAAAATTGTTTGAAGGTATCACAGGAACTTTTTCTGTAATTGTGTAGAAAAATACATACACATTATTTTAAAAAATGCAAAGAGAACAAAAAGGTATACAATGAAAAATCACTCCTGACCCTTTCTCCCACTTCCCAGGGGCAGCTGGATTATCCTTTCAGAGATATAGTATGCATACCTAGCCTGTAGTCTCCAATAGTAGCATTCTACACACTGTTCTGTACCTTGCTAGTTTTCATTTAACACTATATCCTAGAGATTGACCCTGAACAACACATAGGCCTCTACAACAGCTGTACAATATTATTAACGGTCCTCTACATTTAACTAAGGTCTTCTGCTGATGGACATTTAGGTTGTTGAGTCTTTTGTTACTAAGAGTAATGCTGCAATGAGGTCTTGTAAATAGATCTTTGGGCACATGTATTATTATCTGACGGATAAATCCCTGTATGTGGAATGGCTGAGCCAAAGAGTATGTACATTTGAACATTTTAACAGAATCCTCAACTTTCAAAGGCTTATACCAATTTACTCTCACCAGCAAGGTGCTATAGACCTCATATCCTTTCCAACACAAACTTGCATCAAAACTTCTGATCTTTCAGTCTGAAAAGTGAAAAGTATTATCTCATTGTAGTTTTAATTTCTATTATCTTTGATGTGGGGCTTTTTTTTTTCCATTTAAAAGCCACGTGTCTTTCTTTTCCTGTGACCTTGCTGTTCCTGTCCTTTGCCCATTTCTACTTTTTCTGCCTGGTACACGAGCGATCTCGAGTCCCTGGGTGGTGGTGGAAACAGGTTAACATGCTTGGGTGTTAACCAAAAGATGCCTGGGAAGAAAGGCCTGGTGATCTGCTTCTGAAAAACCAGCCACTGAAAACCCTATGGAGCACAGTTCTACTCTGACACACACGGGTCACCATGTGTCAACACGACAGCAACTAGTGCACATAAAACTTTTCATTTGTACTGAAAATACTTTTTCCCTCTCTTTTGATCTTACTTAAAGAATGTTGGGCTGTGCAGAAATTTTCATTATGTAACCACCTTTACTAATCTTTTCTATTATGGTTTCTGGATTTTTTTTTTTTTTGCTTAGGAAAGCCTTTCTCACTCTGAGACTATAAAAACTATCTCATTTTCTTCTAGTACTTTTATGGTTTCATTTTTTACACTCAAAATCTTGGATCTACTTGGGAGTTTATTGTGTCCTAAGGAGTGAGAAAAGAATCCACAAAAACTAACCAATCTGTTTATCATTCGTTAAAATAAAACTGAAAGTGTTACTTAACAAATATTCCCCAGTTTCTCCCAGAATTTTATCCTCTACCCTTACTATACTTAAATATCCAAGAAATAATGATCACAAAATGATTGTAGCACAACTATACTTCCCAAAGCATGGTCAGTCTGTAACTATCACCAGCTGCATTTATGGTAATACAGTTTTGAGCTTTGTGATACCAACCGCAATAAGTTAAAACAGGAATTGCTTGTAAACATTTTATCACAATATAGTGGTTGAGTTGAACACTAGGTTTGCAGGATGACTAAAGTATGCATCTTACTGCAATAAATTATACAAGAAATGATATTCTATAATTGTACAGATTGAGCATTCCACTGAGAAATACATATATCTTTAATAGACTAAGTAGAGGCTAGACAGACAGTATTAATAATAAACTGAGGGCCACAGACATCTCCAACTGTTTTTCTCATTTGGGAGAAAACATTAAATTCATTTTCTTTCAAGTACAGGCCTTCTCAGTAGTTTTAAAAAATTCTGATTAGCTGAAAAATACTTCTAATAAGGTACATTTTGTATTTTGAGAGGGGAAGTAGAGGGCACATGGACCTAACCATGTCTATGAACTCAAGAAAGGCCTCCTGGGGGGAATGTTTACATTGAAACCTAAACAGGATGAGAAGAGCTAGACAAACGAGGACACTTGGTCCAGGATTTGAAAGACAACTAGGTAAAGCGTAAATCCTCTGTGTGAACACCCATTTCTAAACTCAGGGGGAATATATATTGATTTCCTCCCACGTCTTTTTTCTAAAGCAATTTTTCTTCTCAGGTGATTCTTAAAATTTGTAGTATTACAGTCAAGCAACAGTGATCTATTATAGAAAGAGTAAATATTCTTCTTGTCCTTGGCTACAGACTCCTGTTATTCTTAATGTGACACAAAAGCACTCTTACTTTTAGACATCTTGCATACAATCTGTATGTTTCACATTTTAAAAGACTTCTCTTAGTATCAAACTCAAATAGCTTATTTTTAGGTAGGATTATAGGGTTGACTTTCCTGTAGAAAAGTAAAGTTGAAGCTGTTTCAGAGATTAACTTTGTTCTGCTTGCCTATGGCTAATGTTTGTACCATTAGAAGGCAGCGGATTAGAAAACTAGGCAAAAGGCATTTCTTCTATACTCGTTCTTCAAACTGATCCTTTTTGTCACACATGTAGCCCACTTATGAAGACAGCATTGGAATCAGAATCAGTATTAAGACCAATCAAACCTATAATCCAGAATCTCAAAACACTGGGCCACTAGCACAAATATTATCTTGAAATTTCTCCTTTATAAATACATTTACAAAACAAAGAAGGAAACATAAAATGTTCAGGGAGCAAATTTCTGCTAGTAATTTAAAAATATGCTGTTTTAATTCTATAAGGTTAAGATTTTTTAAGATAAAAAAATTATTAGTAACTGAGTTGAAGTCCCAATATTAGATATTATCGTTAAATGAACAAGATAATTTCTGACCATATACGACTAACAATTTCTCTTTTTATCAGCTTAAAAAAATGGCAAAAGGCTATGAATCTAACTCAGCTCTGCCATGGGTTAGCTGTGTAACTCAGGGCAAATACCTATTCTGAGATTCAGTTTATTTCTGAAATAAATCATAATTTAAATGCCTTAACCCTACTAACAAGTAGAAAAGGAACACATACACTATTTTAGGAATATATATTTTTAAAAGGAATCAACAGTCCTGTTAAGCAAGTATGGCTACAAGAGGAAATGAAACAGCTATAGTCAACAGATTAACTTAAGGCCTTCCACCTGGCTCTTAAGGCACACGTTAACTCAGAAGACTAATACATATTTATTGAGTGGTATCATCTCTGGATGTCTGTATATTGGGTGTGAGTGTGGATTTAAGGTTTCCTTGGGTCTCTCTCAGCAGCCCTGGTGGCACAGTGCTTAAGAGCTTGGCTGCTAACCAAAAGGTTGGCAGTTTGAATCCACCAGTCGCTCCTTGGAAACCCTAATGGGTAGTTCTACTCTGTCCTATCGGGTCACTGTAAGTTGGAATCAACTCAACGGCAACAGGTTTGGTTTGGGTCTCTCTCAAGGGCTCTCTTTTCTCTTCAGTATTTCTATTCCCTAATTTTCCTTTTCCTTGTAAAGAGCCACCACTCATATTTAATACCCAACTTTTGCCACTTGCTTATGTCAGTTCTTGAAATGTACTTTTTATAACAGAAGCAGAAGTTAAAAGATACAGACATCACACAATTTAATTAAATGGTTCTATTTTATTTCCATGGTCTGAATTTTCTTTCTCACTCAAGAAAAGATTTCTAAGCATTTATTATTTCTTTTTTTTGCTGTAAACAGAAGAAAGCTTTTTCTTTTCCAAAATTGTCCCAGGGGAACAAAAGAGATGCTTTTCCAAATTAGAGCACAAGTCTTCCTGAAATGTCAGTGTGTGATAATTAGGACAGTAGCAGTCTTTTAGTTTAAATTTCATAAAAGCTATTGTTACGATGGTGGTTTTGGCCGTTTTGCAGATGGTCCATCTGAGTTAGTTCTGTTATCAATGTTATTTTCATCTTCTGCACCATCTTCATCATCACCTTTTAAAATAAATATTTGTTGTATGATAATATGTCCAATGGTTCAAAAGAAATATAGATCATTAAAATGGTTGATAGAGACCATTTCAGTTTTGGGATTAATAAAACCATGCATATCTCAGATTCGAAATATGTACGATTAAAAAAATTTTAGAAATTTATAATCTAAAACCTTTCTATCACTTTTTTTGAGATATAATTCATATACCATAACACTCACTCTTTTAAAGTGGTTTTAGTATACTCACAAGGTTGTACAACCATCACTACTATCTAATTAGTTCTAGCACATTTTCATCACCCCAAAAAGAAACGCCATATTCATCATCAGACACTCTTCATCATTCCCGCCCCAGCCCTTGGCAGCCACTAATCTATCGTCTGTCTCTATGGATTTGCCTATTCTGGACTCTTCATATAAAAGGAACCATACGTGACCTTTTGCATCTGGCTTCTTTTACTTAGCATAATGTTTTCAAGGTTCATCCATGCTGTAGCATGTATCAGTACTTCATTTCTTTTTCTTGCTGAATTATATTCCACCGTATGGATATACCACATTTGTGTACCCATTCATTAGTTGATGGATATTTGAGTTGTTTCCAATTTCTTGCTATTATAAATAATGCTGCCATGAAAATTTGTGTACAAGTCTTTGCGCGAACTTACGTTTTCATTTCTCTTGGATATAGACCTAGGAGAGGGATTATTGGGTCATATGGAAATTTTATGTTTAACTTTTTGAGGAAAAACTAAACTGTTTTCCAAAGCAGGTATACCGGCAATGTCTGAAGGTTCCAATTTCTCCCCATCCTCACCAATACCTGTTATTGTCATCTTTTTTATTACAGCCATCCTAGTAGGTGTGAAGTGGTATCTCAACTTTTTTAATTATGGTAAACATGTAGGTAACACAACATTTGTCATTTCAACAATCTTCCGTGTACAGTTCAGTGACATTAAATATAAAAATGTTCATGTTTTTCAACCATCACCATTAATCATTGTGGTTTTGATTTGCATTTTCCTGATGGCTAATGATGTTAAGCATCTTTTCATGTGCTTATTGGCCATTTATGTATCTTAGAGAACTGTCTATTCAAATACTTTGTCTGTTTTTAAAATGGGTTATTTGTCTTTTCAGGGTTGCATTCTATCACTTTTTTTAGTAGCTGTTATAATTTTTATTCTGCGTATTTTTTGAGATATAATTCATATAACATAAAGTCCATCATTTTAAGCTCTATCACTTTTTTAAAAAGCAAATCAAACCAAAGTACTATGGGGACTTGATCATTAAATATATGAAAACATGTCCTCCTATACAAAGATAATTACTGACTATTATCAATAGGACAGGTTATTTTTCTGATAATAATAGATTTTTTTAAACGGCTCTAGCTATACTATTGTTCTTATGTCATAATATTTTTAACAGATTAGATGGCCAAGAAACAGGACTTCACCCTCAATGTATGTGGCAACAACCAATTAACGTATTCATGGAAACCATCTATTATCTTGAACTCAGTGTCATGTTCTGAATTGACTTCTCCCCATTATCCAGAACTATCAAGGTGTAAACAAGATGGAAAGTACTGTTTAAGCTCATCTACAAAGGAGGAAATTCCGATATTTACTTCTAAAGGTTTTCAGCTCAGGCAGTCAAAATTCACCTGTTTTTGTATCCCAGACAAGATTTTTAAAAAGTCAATGCAGTTAACTGCCACCTACAAAGCTGGGATATAAAAAAGGAGTTCCTGGGAGTTAAGAATTGTTACACTGAAGTCTGTTTGAATCTTCGGAAACTGCGATAGCTTGCGGTCTTACAAACATGTTAGCAATTTCACACCTGATAAAACTCCTTTTCATCCTCAATACCCAGCTCAGAAGTAGTCATGCCCTCTCTGAAGCCTTCTCTTGGTCTGCAATAGTTACAGAAGACACAGGGTTTACACTTTCACTCTTTAATAGTGTTTGCCTGTCTAGTCCCTCACCAGCCTGTGAGTGCCACAAGGACATTCCATTCACCTAATTATTTCTCCAGTTCAGCCCAGTGCCTGACAAGAGTAGACGTTTAGCACTTTTGGGGTGCGTATTAATGAAAAGGGATAGAGTCGTGAAAACGCTTCAGCAGAAACAGCCCAGATACACACGACCATGAGTACCAACAATTTCTAGTGGGAATACATCAAGGACTCCCCAAAGATCTTCCCCGGCCGCCCCGCCCTTCAGCGGTTCCAACATCGCCTCAGAACTCACCATTCATGGCCTCTTCTCCAGCCACCGCCACTGGGTCCTGGGCTTCCCGTTGTACCAGGGCGCCGAGGAGCTCGGCCACCCTCTCCCGCATCTCAGCTAACCCCAACAACAGGCCCTGGAAAGGGTCGGCATCGCCCAGGGCCTCACAAGATACCTGCAGCCGCTGCCGCTGCCCGTCCCGCCCGACATACTCTCCCAATAGCTCCATGGCGACCGCCGAGCTTCAACCGCGCGCCACAAGAAAACGTCACCCGGAAGCGGAAATCAGCCTGCTGCGGGCGGAGGCGGGAGAAGGGAGGAGAGTGACTTCCGTTTGTCCAGAGTCGTTCCTCCCCCTTCCTTCCCTTCCCTCTTTGGGGATTGGTTCCCGGGACTCAGGCCCCGCCTCCTCCGGCTACGCCTCTCGCGGCTGCCTTTCCCGCCTCCGCCGGGGCAGAGCTGCGGGCCGGTGACAGTTGAGGATGGCCGGAGCAGAGGGCTCCGCTGGGCGGCAGTCGGAACTGGAGCCTGTGGTATCGTTGGTCGACGTGCTTGAGGAGGACGAGGAGCTGGAGAATGAAGCGTGCGCTGTGCTGGGCGGCAGCGACTCCGAGAAGTGCTCCTATTCGCAGGTGGGCGCGCGGCCCGGGCCTTGACTCTCCTCGGTCTCCGGCTGAGCCACCCCTCCCGGCCAGACTCCCAATTCCAGCCGCCTCAGTCGTCTCCCCTAGGGTGGTCCGGGGCCGATGTTCGCCTTAGGCTTTCCCGCTCGTGGTCCAGCTGCCCTTTTATCCTCCCAGGGTCCCTTTCTCAGTCTGCGCCCAGCCTTTCTCGTCCCTCAGTCTTCCTCCGTCCCGCGCTCGGGATTCTCCAGGCTTGGCCCTGGAGCGGTTGCTCCGTCCATTTGCAGTCTCTCCTTGGTGGCCTGGCCGCTTCTTAGGAGACCATCCCCGTGACCTCGCAAATCCAGACATCTTTGTTCCTGCTTCTCCCATCCTAAGGGCATTTATTAGGAACAGAACCATTAGGCTTTTTAAAAAAAAAATTTATTTATTTTGTTGTTGAGAATATACACAGCAAAACATACACCAATTCAACAGTTTCTACATGTATAATTCAGTGACAATGATTACACTCTTCAAGTTGTACAACCATTCTCACCCTTCTTTTTCTGAGTTGTTCCTCCCCCGTTAACAGAAACTCACTGCTAAGGTTCCTGTCTAATCTTTCAAGTTGCTGTTGTCAGTTTGATCCCGTATAGATAGTTCTTAAAAGAGCATAATGCTTAAGGCAGACCTTTATCACTAGTTAAGTTAAACTATTGTTTGGTTTTAAGAAGACTGGAGGGGATATTTTTGGTTTAAGGTTTAAAGATTATCTCGGGGCAACATTTTTAGAGGTTCATCTAGCCTCCATGGTTCCAGAAAGTCTGGAGTTCATGAGAATTTGAAATTCTGTTCTGCATTTTCTCCCTTTTGATCGGAATTCTTCTATAGACTCTTTGATCAAAACCATTAGGTAATTTATTAGGAGGTCAAAGCAGGGTTAAAAGAGCTCTGGATTTGAAAGCCTCTCTGTGTAGGGTGGGCTGCTGAACAGCTAGTTCCTCTTTGCCGTTTAGTTTGGCAAATGCTCGTACTTTTGTGGTGAAACTAAGCAAGTGCCATGGCTGCCTATAGTCTGCCCTTCTTGCAAATAGACTGGAACCAGAACAGCAGGTGACACTGGCAAGGGGGGCAGAGAGAGGAGAAAAGGAAAGGATCTGTTTGACATTTGGAAGACGTTGTGAACAGGGGTTGAGGGGGTGTGATGTAGTGTTCAGTGACTCATCCTAGATTTCTAGCTATCAAAAGGGAGAAAGGTGGGTAGGAGAAAACACGGAGTGAGAATTTATAGGAGGAAGGTTACTTAGACAGGAGGGTTGAGTGGAACATTGGGGGAGGAGGAGAGAGACTTGCTGTCATTATGTGGTGTGCACTGAGATCACAATACCAGGTGTCATCAGTGACCAAGTTGAATTTACTCTGTCAAATGGTTAGATTGTAGAGTAAACCTGGTATCCAGATGTTGGCTGGTACTTTAAAACCTTTGATCACCACCGAAACAACATTTTTCCCTGCTGTCCTTTTAAAAAAAAGATGATAGGTCCTAAGTCTGTATGTAAGCTATTTTTGAAATGTAGTTAGCTTTATAAAAGGGACTTAATTAAAATTTTCTTTTTATTATAGTATAATGTAATAGCAGATTGCACAAAACATGTGTATGGTTTGGAAAAAAAAGTAAACATCCATATACCCACCATCCAGAATAAGAAATGGAATATTACTGGCATCCCAGAAGCCTCCCCGAGTCTCTCCCTCCTCCCTAGAGTAGGGTAACCATTATCAAGATTTCTAAAAGCATAAGTTTTGCCTGTTTTCCCTTTAACTTTTATTTTGAAAAATTTAGAATTTACAGATAAGTTAAAAGAATAATGTTCTGAACATCTGTATATCTCTTACGTATATTCATTGTTTCATCTCTTCCTCTCTGTACAATACAATTTCCTTTTCTTTTTTTCTTTTTGGCTGAACCATTTGAAAATAAGTTGCAGACATCATGACACTGCACCTCTAAATACTTTAGCATGCATTTTGTAAGAATGCATTGATTTCATTGGTAGAATTATAAACATTTTCTAAAATTAAAGTGTGATATTATTTATATAAACCTACACACATTCTCCTACATTTTCATGTGCTAAAATGATTAACCAGAACAGCTTGTTCACAGTTGACTGAAATCTTAAAACTTCCTATTACTTTAAGAAAAAACTGTATGTAAACAAGCATAGTGTAGTACATACATAGTGATATGAAACGTGCGACACTGTCTTGGTAGTTTTTACAGGAAGATCTTGACCACAGATAATCCAATTTTAATTATTTCTCATATCTTAGTATAGGTATTAGGTAACTATGCCATATTTTATTCATTCTCTCTCTCTGATTCCATTTTGGGGCCGTCTTTTAGGGCTCAGTAAAGAGACAAGCACTCTATGCCTGTAGTACCTGTACCCCAGAGGGAAAAGAACCAGCCGGAATTTGCCTAGCATGCAGTTACGAATGCCATGGAAGCCATAAACTTTTTGAGCTATATACAAAAAGGTAAAGCCAGTCAAAGATTGGTACAGAATGCTTCTTTCCCAGATGCACTTTTTTTCCTTAATCTGGTTTTTCCGTTAAAAGTAGTTGTGCACTAGTAAAATTTAATGTAATTTTATATAATGTAATTAGAAAAGATAATTTTCCCAATGGGCCTTTTAAGATACAATTGTGGTACAAACTCAAACTACTCATTCTTCTCTGCCATTATTTCACACACATGTAATATATGTAGATACATACAAACGTATATATATCTGATATATGTATAAGTCTCTGTGCATGTTAATTTCCAGAATGTAAAATCTCTTTATTGCTATGTGCTTGGGGGATTTCTGAATTGGATACATGAACAGCAACCAAGGCCACTTTTTAGATCCTAGATAATTGTGGAAAAACAAGTAGGCTATGATTTGAGTTTAAAGAGTAAGTTATTAGAGTTAAAAGAAAAATAAAATTGGTTCTTCCTCTTTTGTTTCAGAAATTTTCGTTGTGATTGTGGAAACAGCAAGTTTAAAAATTTGGAATGCAAACTATTTCCTGTAAGTAAGCACTATATATAATGCGTAGAAAGAAGCCGAAGTTGATATTTGCCAGAGTGGGTGAAAACCAAGTGTTTTCCAAAAAGGAACTTCTTATCCTCATTCTTTGCAAATGGTCAAATCAATAATAGACTGTATTTTATTTTTCACTTTGTTGGAAAAACCGTATAGCCTGTTCCCAGCCTACCTTAGACTGTAATTAATGTCAAGGGCTTTGGGGGAAAATGTTCTTTAAAGCATTTCAGGTTCAATTATGTCAATTGTGTTCATGCTCTGAGGCTTTTAAAGAAAATATGACTTTAAAAACTGAATAAAGAAGACATGGTAGCCATGAATGTGGGCTAGATGCATATAAGAGTTTTTCACTGCTTTTTTTGCTAATAAAAACTGTTTATACAATAACCTGTAATAAAACATCAAATGAAAGAGAAAGTAAGAGATGTCACATTGTTCAATCATAATTGCTAAAGCTGTCATGCTTTTTCCCCCCTTTGAAGGTTATTTTTAGACAATTTTTTTTACCTGCTTTTGATCTCCTAGTAACCCAGGGTCCTTGACTATCATTGCTGGTCATAAAGAAGTATCCTGAAAATTCAAGTCAGTGTCAGTTTACATGGGTTGATAATAATTAATTTTTATCTCCATTTAATTGAATGGGTATATTCAATTTTCCCCAGTTGCTACAAAAACTAAATTTTATTTTTTCTCTGTATCTTGGAAGAAGTATCCCTTGAGTGAGTGATTTTTGTTTTCCTTTGGACTTTGAAAGTTAAAGACCGCCTTCTGGCAGGGGGGAGATATTAGTTTAATGCATACATTTCATGATACATGAAATTGTAGTTAAAATTAGACCATATTACATTTTGAAATTGTCTTTCAGGATAAAGCAAAGGTAAATTCAGGCAATAAGTACAATGACAACTTTTTTGGACTGTATTGCATTTGCAAGAGACCTTATCCTGATCCTGAAGATGAGGTAAGAGAATTGGAGGTTAAAACCTGGGGCTTTGTCATCACTGGCTTTAACTCCTCAGCCCCTTGTCATATTTGGGCCTCTGCAGCTGTTCAGGGGGTTGGGGGGGCGGGGTTGGGTATTGTGAAAGAATTCTAAATTTGTCCCTCCTTATGAATCTGGACTAGATTTATAACTGGTACAGAGCTGAACTACTGTTCTCACTTTTACATCATGAGAATGAAGCATTGGACAAGGCTTTCCCAAGGCCAAGACTTCTTTCCTTCCTTCTTTCCCTCTGTGCTTTCTTCCCTTTCTGTCTTTGCCTGCTTTCCTCTGCCCCAGTCACTCAAGAAATGACCTTTAAATTCTTGCCTCCTGGAAAGGAAAGAAATGGGGTTTGAGTGTATAAACTAAGTCCTCTTTAAAAATTCTATTAGGAGGATACATAAAATTTAAAAAGAGTTTATCTTCTTTACTCCTGTACCTTTCTACCTCCCAGACATAACCAGTGTTAACACTTTTTGGTGTGTATATTCTTAGAACTTTTTCAGTGCACATATAAATAGTTGAGTGAATGTGTGTTTCTATGTATAGTTTCCTTTTTTTTTTAAACAAAAG